GCTCACTGTAACCTCCGCCTCCTGGGTTCAAGCGATTCTCCTGCCTCAGCCCCCCAAGTAGCTGGGATTACAGGCACGTGGCACCATGCCCAGCTGAATGTTTGTATTTTTTAGTAGAGACAGGGTTTTACCATGTTAGCTAGGATGGTCTCGATCTCCTGACTTCATGATCTGCCTGCCTTGGCTTCCCAAAGTGCTGGGATTACAGGCATGAGCCACCATGCCTGGCCAAGCTTTTTTTCTTTTTTAAAGTCTAAACTTGATTTTGAAAGATATGGTAGCTTATTGTAGAGTTGTAGATAAATTTAAAAGTGACTCTCTTTTGCTTTTAATTACCTGGAAGTACAATTTAGGCTCTAGTAAGACAAAGCAAATGTTTAAAAAATAACTTCTGATTAATCATTTTTTGGTTTGTTACCACTCTTAGGTTCTTTTTCTGTGTCCTTCTCTGTATCCATACCCAGTCCTTTAAAAAGGGGGGATGGAGGGGAAGTTATTACAGTTTTTGTCCAGGTTCATGTATATATAAAGAGCTGTCCTTCTTGGATTGCACTTTTTTTCTCTTAAAACAAATTTTAGTGAATATTTTACTTTTTAAGTATATATATATGTGTGTGTGTATATATATATATAATATATATATAAAATCATTTGAGTTAATTTTAAATATATGAACATTTAGAAGGAAGAACTTCTATTGTGATTTTTAAGAATGTAGATATACTTTGTCCTTATCAAAAGTTCTTTATAGTGAATAAAATTCACAGTACTGCAAAACGAATAAATATGAGAGTGATTATAGGGTTCGTTATAGTGTCTTTAAATACTAAGCCTTTCTCATGTATGTAAAATACACTTTGTTTTACACATAGTTTCAAACAGTACACTTAAAATGTAAACAAATGAATTTATTGTTTTGTTTGATGGTTCCCCTTGTGCTAATTTTCATGGCTAGACATTTATTACCTGGTCTGTGCCAGTTTGCATTATGTCACCAACCAAATTAAAGCTGAACATTTAGTTATCAATGGAAAAAATGTTTACGTTAGGAGAACATGAAACTCCACAAAGTATGAGATGTTCTAAACCATCCTAGTAGTTCTGCTTTATGTAGTCTGTTTAAGCCATGTTTATATTCTGGAGCACTACTTATAATGCTGCTTCAGCCCATGCCAGGGCTTTTGTTAAAGAAGAGTCTTCTACTAGTTTAGAAGAAAAACTCCCTTAACATAGGCTTCTCCCTGCTAGTCTGTGAGCACACTCAATAAAATGGGTATTTAAAATCCTTATTCTTTATTCAGTCTTAGCTGAGAGTAACTCCATTCTGTTACATAATTATTTTACAATAAATGAACAGTGAATACCAAGTTATTTTATAGTGAGTGTCAATATTTTGAAATGCTAACATTAAACTCTGTGATTTTCAGAATATGTCTATTTTAATGTATAGAAATTATGTTAAATTTCATGCGCTTAACTTTTTAGTACCACGTTGAGGTTATTTTGCTGCAGTTTACTAGAGGGTGAAGTGAGGATTTTATTTTTTATGAAACATTTAGTTAAAAACCCCAGCCAAAGAAATGGCTTGTCTCATTACGTGTGAGTCCCAGGTAACAACTTAGCATGCCCAGGTTGTGTGTTCATAGAGCATGCCTGCCTACCAAAAGTGTGTTTTGTTTTTGTTTTACCATAGGTTAACAATGCTAAGAGAGGCCTCTGATGAAATTGTGGCTGAAAAAGAGGCTGAAGTTAAATTGCCAGAGGACAGTAGCTGTACAGAAGATTTAAGTTCATGCACTAGTGCGCCTGAGGTGAACGAAGACAGGAACAGGAAAGAAAACAGCTGTGTCAAAGACCTCAAAAGTCAGCCACCTACTGGAATACCAACGCTGGTGACTATTCCACTGTGCTGTCTTAAAACTGATACTTTACAGGCACCATGTGGACCAGGGAGATGCTTGTTTGTCTCCTTAGGTGTAAATTCCATGTCCGGATTTTGTGCCAAAAGCTGATCATGAAAGGCATGTGTGGGAATAGGCTCTAAGAAGCATCGTAAATGCTTTAAAGTGGGCCCAAAATATTCTCCACTTGCATTTGGAGAATATATAAGAAGAGAAATAGTGCTGGCTACTTTAGAGCTCTATAAAGATTCTGTGAATATTTAAAAAATATTTTCTGAATTCCTTGGAAAACAGCAGGGTGTCTTTTATCAAATTCATATATGTAGTAAGTTTTATTTCCATTTCAAACATGAAGTAAACATTTAAAGTTCATTTGGTTAGGTGGTGCCCTGATTGGAAAGGTGACAGGTGACTTAATGTAGGCACAAGTGCCAACCAAGTTATTAAACAGGTAACTTTGCTAGTTAAGTGAGAGATGTGTTGAGACTGTCAACCCCATATGGGGAAAAATATTTTCAAGCTTTGGGAATGTTCACACACTGGGGGATATTGGTAATAGAGTTTAGAAAATTCTAATTAATTAAATAATAAATAAAATTATTCCTGAAGAAATAATATTATGCCCTGACTGAGAACTTTCTTTCACAAAGGAGCAAACTTTCATTAAGAGGCAGGTTTAAAATCAAGTTATACCTATAAGATAAAAAATAGACATCTGCCTTTGCCTACTGAGTTTGTATTTTGAGAAACTTCCATTTTTTACTTAAGTTTTGTTTTTGTTACATTTCTAAAGATCCAGTAAAATACAACTCAGCTTCACAACAGTTATGTTTATACATGTATAATTACATATTCTATTTAAACCTGCAAGTTTGTGGTATGTTTCATTTTTTTATATTTTATTTTATCATTTATTCTGAAAAAATCTAATCAGAAAGTTGAATAAAGTTTAATGATGATATATACTCAAATAGGATTCTTTTTAGAATCACTTTAAATCTAAATCTTTATTTTTACGTCTGGCCTTTTGGAGGCAGCACCTCTACTTAAGGGTAACCTTGTGGACAGATCATGCTGCCTATTATGCAGAACTTCCTAAGAACTCAGTAGAAAAGCATTCTTGGTAGAAAATTGAAGAGAAATTCTCCCCAGAATTTCTCCCCAGTACTTCAGAAGTGCTACAGTCTGTAATACAAAGCCTTTCTCTTAAGAAAGTGCTCCATGAGTCTCTGTTGTAACATTAGATATTTTTTCTTTCTTAGAAGAAAGGAGCATAATGTTTGCAGATCTATCAGCTCCTGACAAATTGCTGACTTCTCTTACAGGTTGATAAAGAGACAAATACTGATGAAGCTGCTACTGACAATATGGCAGTTCGCCCCAAAGACCGCAGTAGCCTGAGCTCTAGACAGCGTCCCTATGTGAGGAGCAGTGTGATAGTGCGCTCACAAACCTTTTCTCCGGGAGAGCGGAATCAGTACATCTGCAGGGTAAGGTGGCAGTGCTGTGGCAAGGCGCTGGGACTGCAGCTTCTTCCCTGCTGCTAGAGAGTGGGCTGCAGAGGACAAGAGACAGTGCTCTGGGAGTCTTCACATTACAACTACAAATACTGGAAATGCAATAAAATAGATGTAGAATATCACACACTTATGATCCTTTTAAGTTTGTTTGTTTTTCCGTCAAATTTCATGTCTCCTTGGTTCCAATGTGATTTATTTGGCAAGTAAGTGAAGTTTAAGAATCTGAGTGCTAAGTATACGTACGTTATTTGGACTTCAGTCATATTTAGAAACATAAAGTGGGTTTTTGAGATATATGTAGTCTGTATATTTCTATTCTATATCATATGTCCTTCAAACCATGTTAGTCTTGTTGAACTGAGAATTGTGAATTGCTTTTTAGAGCAGAAGTCCTCTTTTAATAATGCTTATAAACACAGAATCACATCCATAGTTCTGTGAAGAAAATTATGAGATTTGCATCAATTTACCAAATTCTACTTCTAGAAGTATTTCTAATTTATATAGTAAGATAGACATAGTATTATAAACTGGGGTAGAAATACCTTTTAAATTCTATATTTATTCATTCAGTTCAACACATTTTTATAAGCACCTGCTTGTAAGCACTTTCCTAGATACATGGGATTCATCTAGAAACAAGAGACCCAGAGGCCTGCCATTGCAGAGTTTATATTCCTGTGAATCGAGCCAGACCACAGCAGCAAATACGATGAATAAGCTATGAAGTATCTTGGAAAGGGATCAATGCTGTGGATAACAGTAGTGCAGGGGGGTTGGGGGTGATATGCAGGCTGCATTTCAGTGAAGATTTGAAGCAGGTGAGACAGTGAGTGTGGGCTACTTGGGCTAAGAGCATTCTAGATAGCACAGACTGTGTCTCAACTCTGACCTTGAGCTCTGTGCTTTATGGAGACCTTTTTATTTTTTGAGACAGAGTCTCATTCTGTTTCCCAGGCTGCAGTGCAGTGGCGCAATCTTGGCTCACCGCAACCTCTGCCTCCTGGATTCAAGCTATTCTCCTGCACCAGCTTCCCAGCTGGGACTACAGGCATGCGCCACCATACCTGACTAATTTTTGTATTTTTAGTAGAGATGGTTTCTCTATGTTAGCCAGGCTAGTCTTGAGCTCCTGACCTTGTGATCTGCCCGCCTTGGCCTCCCAAAGTGCTGGGATTACAGGTGTGAGCCACTGTGCCCAGTCTTATGCAGACCTTTCTTTAAAGAAACGAAAATGATCTATTAACTAAAAATACAAAGGATAATTTTATTTCAAGAAATATATAAGTACTTTAAACATAGGATTTTTGATAACTACTACCAAAAGGCAGCTATTTAAATTATTTAAGAGGCCAGGAGTGGTCACTCATACTTGTAATCCCAACACTTTGGGAGCCCGAGGAGAGCGGGTTGCCTAAGGTCAGAAGTTCAAGACCAGCCTGGCCAACATGGTAAAACCCCATCCCTACTAAAAATACAAAAATTAGCCAGGTGTGATGGCACATGCCAGTAATCCCAGCTACTAGGGAGGCTGAGGCAAGAGAATTATGTGAACCGGGGTGGTGGAGGTTGCAGTGATCCAAGATCACACCACTGCACTCTGGGTGGCAGAGTGAGACTCCATCTAAAAAATATATTAATTAATTAATTAAGAAAATGAAGTTATTTAACAAAACATAGAACAGGAAAAACCTTGTTTGAGGGGATTTTCTTAAAGAAATAAACTCTTAACTATCACTACCTGCTTTACTTGGTAAATGTCTCAGTTCCAGACTTCCACTTGTACTCTGATATGCAGTGATTTTTGTTTTTCAATCTTTTGTTGCCAGTTAAATCGGAGTGACAGTGACAGTTCAACCCTGGCTAAAAAATCACTGTTCGTGAGAAACTCCACTGAACGGCGCAGTTTGAGGGTCAAAAGGGTATGTATTCCCTCAGCCACGTTCCACTGTCCCTGGACCAATCCAAAATTGTGACTTGTACAGCACAAACTCCAGAACCACAGAATGAATGTCAGTGCTCCATGCACTTAGCCTACTGAATGCAGCCACTGGGACACACAGAGACGCAGGTGCCATGGCTGCTATGGAGACGGGGGTGTGTAGAGCATTTACTCATCATTGGTGCAGAACCTGTGATGGTTAAGGCTGGATATGTAGCTTCAGTATCTCTGGAGAAGGGGCCTGCTGAGCCTGCAGGGGTATCAGATGATGGGAGAACACGTTTCTGATCACGCTGCATACCATGTCCAGGTCTTGAGCAATTGCGGGAAGTATAAGACGTGGTACCTTTTCTGAAGGACACACATTCTGGTAAACTGGTTACACACACAGAGAGTCAAAACTTATTCTGAAATCAGAATAGGGATAGGCAGGGCCTCTCCCTTCCATTTGGCCCGAGCACTACCATTATTTCAGGTGTTCAAACTAGAGTACTTGTCGAAATTGAGTCCCTCCTTACTCATATCAAATACTACCAGTTCTTATTAAGGATCATTTATTTTGCATTCAGACTGCCAGTAACCTAGACAAGAAGTACCTCCTTGTTTCCCTCTTCTGGTACAGTGTCACCTCTCACCCAGCCTTGCTTAAAATCTCTTCCTCAAGGGAATGTGCCCTGACCCCGAGTGATCTGTCCCCTTCCCTGACATCCTGTGCACTCCTGCCCTTGCTCACAGCTTCCTCTTGCTTAAGGTCTCGTGTCATTCTGCAGTTGAAATCTTCAAGGGCAGAGATTCTGTCTTCTCTTCCTAGTAGTTTGCCTGCACAGCCCCAGCAGACGTTTATTTCATGTGTGTTCAATAGTTATTGCTTGATGAATGGGTATGATTGGCCCTGGGAAGAGCCGTGGTGAAAGTAAGTAGCACACAATGGGAAATCAAGGAAGGCAACTCAATTTAAGCATTCTGATTAGAGGAGAGAGTCAAAACTTAGCAACATTGACCAGCTGTATTCTGCACGGCTCATGGAAATGGTAGAGTTATGTGTCCTAAAATGGAGGAAACAGAAGTGTCTTACAATGTTTTTATTTATCACACAAGGCAGGCTTCATGCAATGAATTGGTCAGGCTAAGTTAGCCAGGCTGTACTGTGGTAACAACTTTAAAAACTTCTGTGGTATAAAACAATAAAGGTTTATTTCTTGCCTAGCTACTGGTTCACTGCAGGTTGGCAGGAGGCCCTGCTCCATGTTGTCCCACTCAGGGCCCATGCTGTTGGAGCCTCCCTCCGTGGTTCTTTGCTCTCCCTCTAGCAGGGGCAGAAACGTGCACCTCTCCCACTGGCCTTGACAGGCTCCTGCTGGAAGTAAGGCACATCCCTCCCACTCTCCTGCCATGGGCCAGAGCAAGTTGCTCCTGCCACTTAGGCAGCTTAGGCCCTGGCTTCTAGGGCGCAAGGAGGCACCATCCATCGTGCGCCAGGAAGGAGGGAAAGCAGAGTACCCGCTGCCTGTATAACCAGGGTGTTCGTCATTCTGTTTCCCACTATCCAGACGGTTTGCCAGTCAGTCCTTAGAAGAACAGCACAAGAGTGCCCAGTGCGGACATCTCTAGATTTGGAACTGGACCTTCAGGCATCTCTGACCCGGCAGAACCGCCTCAATGATGAGCTGCAGGCGCTCAGGGACTTGCGGCAGAAGCTAGAGGAACTGAAAGCTCAGGGAGAGACTGACCTTCCACCTGGCGTGCTGGAGGACGAGAGGTTCCAGAAGCTTTTGAAGCAAGCTGAGAAGCAGGTACACAGCTCAGGGTCTGTCATTTCGGAGGGGCTTACAATCTTTTTTAAAGCATGCCATGTAGCAGGTACCCAACTAACACTTCTGTTTTGTGCGTAAGTCTTTAGATGTTTTACTACGCCTTGAAACTCATTTTTCTCCACTGTTATGGGCCCTTTTTTTTTTCCAAACTAGAAATGTTGAAGGAATAAGGAAGCTGGGAAAGTGGGTGTGGCAGCAGGGGATGGGTGTGGCCAGTGGGGGTGAAGGCCTTGCCAGAGGGGAAATGGGAAATGGTCATAATTTCTCCGAATTTCTCTCCATCTCAACATAAGACTTGGCAAATAAATATAGTGTAACTTTTAGCATAAGTGAGACATTTTGTTTCAATTTTTCTATGGATATCTCTTTAAGATTTATTAATCACATCAATTGTGAAATACATTGCTAATTTTCATGCTCCTAAATTTTCACTTTCATTCTTATCTTAAAGAAAAAGTATGCTTTGCTATTGACATTCTCTCTACCTTTCACCCTACAAATAACTATACCAAATAAAGATGAAATCACTGATTAAAAAATAGAGTATTTTCAAAGAAACTGTTTCCATTATTTTGCTACCTAAATATTACTGACATTTTCAAGAATCTGCATACATATGAAATTGATTTACTTTCTCAAGAGTAGAATTTATTTTTTGATTTAGGAGTGTGCATTCATATCCATGTAGTAGCAAATAGAATTTTCCATATAGCTGAAATACTAATATTACAAATACCAAAACATTGTTTTCTTTCAGTCCCTTTGGATGGGAATGTAAGATAGATTAGGTAGTTCCCTGAAACTAACAGAAAATGTTGTCTATGATATAAACTGCTCTTTTTGGCGGAGAGTTGTTATTTGATCATGCAGTGTATAGTACCATCAGGAAAGTTTGACTCATTCAGCTAACTGGAACTACTCATCCTAGATGGAACTCAGAAACTAAATGAATGAATTTCAAGAATCAAACTGACACCAGTAATCTTTAAAGAAACTTTAAGCAACAAAATGTATTACATATCTGTATCATATCCCACCTGATAGAAGGAAACCTTCACATTGAGTTGGACCTCAGTGTTTGCTCAATCTGAAGTTGAATGGTAGGCCTTACATTTGCCACTGCAGCGAATATAGGATAATTAGACATTGCCCTGGTTTCATGAAGGAAATGCGCCAGACACACCAGGTCCATGAGAGTAGTGCTCCCTGGGGAGATCAGGAGAGGTTTCATGGAGGAAGTGACACTTGAACTGGCTTTTAAAGTGGGCAGTGGAGGCCAGGTATGGTGGTTCGTGCCTTTGGAGGTCAAGGCGGGCGGATCATGAGGTCAGGAGATCGACACCATCCTGGCTAACATGGTGAAACCCCATCTCTACTAAAAATACAAAAAATTAGCTGGACGTAGGGCAGCTACTTGGGAGTCTGAGGCAGGAGAATCGCTTGAACCCAGGAGGCAGAGGTTGCAGTGAGCTGCTATTGCGCCACTGCACTCCAGCCTGGGTAACAGAACAAGACACCATCTCAAAAAAAAAAGGTGAGCAATGGAGCTTCATAGGGGTGAGAAGCCCAGGACTCTCTATTAGTAAAGGTCCAGCAGGTGGCAGGTAGTCTTACGAAATGGAAGACTGAATTACAAGCAGAAATGACTTGCTCTTGTGTTTGCAACCTCTGTAACCATCATTTTTACTCTCTTGAGTTCTTAACTCAATATTAGCAGTAATTTCAAACACTTGGTTGACTTTGACCTACTTTAATGTCATGGAGAAGCATTGCAATCTTTGACTCTTACGGGTCAAAGCCTTCCAAAGCTGAATTGGAGTTTTACAACTACATATGTAAACAGAACTTTGTATCTTTGGGTCTTTGGTTGGTTGTTCACTTCTAGTGTGTCATGATATGAAATTCCAAATCTCTAGATGCCAGTTATTACTAAAACTATGGGACTTAATTTTTTTTTTACTTAATATCATAATGCTAAGGTTCATCCATAAATTGCTTCTTATTGCATTTCATTTTTTTTTTTGACTGCTATCCACTCTCCATTGTGTAGAGAGAAGTTCAGTAAAGCAAAAAGTTCTTTAAAAAAAAAGAAGGAAAACCAGAAAGCTCTGGCAAAATTAATGAAGCGAATATACAAATAAAGAACATTATAAAAGTAATCAGGGACAGGACTACAGGTAAATTTGAGATTTACAAAATAATTACAGCTGAGGTGGGAGAATCACTTGAGCTCAGGCATTGGAGACCAGTTTGGGCAACATAGGGAGACCTCATCTGTATAAAAAAAGTAAATAAAAATAAAAAATTCACGAGGCATAGCGGCATGCACCTATAGTCCCAACTACTTGGAAGGGTGAGGTGGGAGGATCACTTTAGCCCAGGAGGCAGAGGCCGCAGGGAGCTGTGATTGCGCCACTGCATAGGTGACAGAGCGAGAACCTGTCAATCAGTATTGAACAATTAAAAAATAAATACATAATAAATGCATACTCTCTCTCTCTCTCTCTCTCTCACTCTCTCTCTCTGTCTCCCCCTCTCTCTCTCTCCCTCCCTCTCCTCCCCCTCCCCCACCCACCCTCCAGTGCTTTGGGAGGTCAGAGTGGGAGGACAGCTTGAGGCCAAGAGTTTGAGACCAGCTGAGTGACATATCAAGATCCCATCTCTATGAAAAAAAATTTTTTTTAAGTTAGCTGAGCATGGTGGCACCTATGTATATAGTCTTGGCTGTTCTGGTGGCTGAGGCAAGAAGATCACCCGAGAGTCCCCAGAGGTTTGAGGTTGAAGTGAGCTATGATTGCCCACTGCACTTCAGCCTGCGTGGCAGGAAAACATAATTGAATACTGTAAGAAATAGATGCCCACAATTTGGACATATATCTAGGAAAATATGCTAGAATGGATGTTTGGAAAGAATAAAAAGGATAGAAAATTCTATAACTCTCTTAAAAATACGGAAGCTGTGATTAAAACTCTACCCACAAAGAAAATATAAGTTCTGGATGCGTTATAGGCATTTTCCACCACACTTTCAAAGAACAGATTATCTCAATTTTATACAAACTCTTCCAGACACTAGAAAAAGAGAACACTTCCACACCTAATTTTATGCAATCAGCATTCCTAATACCAACACTAGACAAAGATACTATCAGAAGGAAAATCACAAGCCAGCCCAGTTTCATTTATGAATGTAGATGTAAGAATTCTGACTAAAAAGTATTAGTAAATAGATTCCAACACTGTATTAAAAAGATAATACATGTTGAATTGTACAAAGGTTTTGTTTGTTTTGTTTTGTTTTTGAGATGGTATCTCACTCTGTTTCCCAGGCTGGAGTGCAGTGGCATGATCTCAGCTCACCACAACCTCCACCTCCCAGGTTCAAGCCATTCTGCTGTCTCAGCTTCCTGAGTAGCTGGGGCTACAGGTGTGCTCCCCCACACCCAGCTAATTTTTGTATTTTTAGTAAAGACAGGGTTTCACCATGATGGCCAGGCTGGTCTCGAATTTCTGACTTCAGGTGATCCACCCACCTCAGCCTCCCAAAGTGCTGGGATTATAGGCATGAGCCACTGTGCCTGGCAGGTTTTTTTAATATTAGAAAACAATGTATTAAAAAAAAATACATGTTGACCATGTCGAAATGTCTAAGGATATTTTTAATACTAGAGAAATCTGTTAATATAATTCATTACTTTTAACAGATTGAGGGGAAAAACCATTTGGTCAACTCAATAGATTCAGAAAAATATTGAGAAAAGTCATTGTTTCTTCATGTTTAAAAATCCCAGTAAGTTAGAGACAGGAACTTCCTCAACTTGATAAAGAATAACTTAAAGTAAATGTGGTCATAAATAGATAAACATTAGAATCATTTTCTTTACAATCAAACACAAGACATTCAACATTGTTCTGTTCAACATTGTGTTAGGAGTTCCTAAACAGTACCATAAGGCAAAAAAAAAAAAAAAGTAGAAGAGTAGAAACAGAAAGATTGGAAAGAAATAAAGCTGCCACCATCTACAGGTGACATTGCATACGTTAAAAAAATTGTAATTTATTGCAAATAGTAAGAGTTTAGCAAGATGGGTGAATAGAAGGATACCTAAAAGGGTGAATATCAGGATATCTAAAAGCCTGTTGCATTTGTTTACACCAACCAGAAACACCTAGAACATTTAAGTAAGAAAATTATACCAGTATCAATAGCAAATATCAAGAAATACATTTAACAAAAATAAACAGTGCATTATAAAGAAAATTAGAAAACCTAGTGAGAAGAAATGTAAAAGCAAATTCGTAGAGAATTTATTACGTTCATGTAGAGCAGGAGTCAGTAAGCCTTTCCTATAAATGACCATGTATTAAGTATTATATCAAATATTACACAATAATATAATGTCATTATAATTAAATACTAATAATGTTAAATATTCTAGGCTGTCTGGCCCATATATGTTCCCTGTTGCCACTATTCAGCACTGCCATAGATAAAATGTAAATAAATGATGTATTTGCATTCCAATAAAACTTTATTTACAAAAGCAGATGGCAGGCCATAGTTTGCCAACTGCTGATCTAGAGGAAGAATTAATAATGTGAAGATGGCCAATTCTTTCTACAGTGTACCATAGAGGCAATGTAATTCCAAGCAGCATATCACGTGGTTTTTCATGGATATTGATGCTGTTAATAAAAAAGTAAAGTCAAACAATCACCAGGGTACTTTGGAAAAGAATAACAAGAAGAGGGACTTGCTGTACAGGAAATCAGGATTTATTCAACTGCTAAAGTAGCAGGAATTTGTGGAAGAATTAAGAGATCAATCATGGCATGAATACAGAGCTCAGAAACAGACACATCTGTATGGAGCGTTGGTTTGTGATGTGGGTGTTATCTGTGTGGAGCATTGATGTGTGATGCCTAAGTAATAGGGAAGCCAGGAAGGCTTCTGAAGTGTTCTCTGGAAAGACACTGTG